TTACCTGAGCTCGCCTAACCCTCCCACACCTTTCATTGCCTCTGAGTAGAGTACAGGATTGGATAAGAAGGGACAGCTTCCACTGAGCAGAATGGAAGCGCCAGCGTGTGTGGCAGCCAGAGTTCACAGGGTTTGAAAGTGTCCTGGTGGGTTAGTGCAGACTAGGAAGTGAGGTAGGTAGGTTAGAGACTAGGAAGTGGGGTAGGTTAGAGGAGACTAGGAAGTGGGGTGGGTTAGAGACTAGGAAGTGAGGTGAGTTAGAGACTAGGAAGCGAGGTGGGTTAGAGAAGACTAGGAAATGATGTGGTGGAGACTTTCTTCTGGGCTGCCATGATGGTTAAAAAGGAGTTCAAGGAAATGTGGCCAGAGACTATTTTTAAATATGTTTTTATTGATTTTTGAGGAGAAGGGAGAATGGGAGAGAAACCTCCATCGGCTGCCTCCTGCGCGCTCGAGTCCACAACCAGGACCCGTGCCCTGCCAGGATCTGAAGAACTCTCGGTGTCCAGGAAGACACCCAACCTACTGAGCCCCTCCGGTTAGGGCCAGGGACTTTATTTCTAACGAGGAGATTTAAGTGATATTCTCCCTGTGGGGGAGAAGGAAAAATGCTTTGAGAGAGGCAGTGAAATATAAGACAGGGCCCTTCATGGTAGGATCTGCTCCAGTTCAACAGGAAGCAGAGGGAACGGGATGGAGACCTCCAATGCGTCTCGGAAAGGAATGAGGCAGCTTCTCCCTGGTGGGACCATGGCAGGAGGTCTGAATTCTGGCACGGGCGAGGGTTAAAGGGGTGGTGGCCTGAGAGAACTTGAGTGAATTCGGCACTATTTGAAGATGGGCGACTGGAGCCGAGGAGGAGGCACGGAGTCAAAGGAAACCAGGTTTTCAGTTCAGTTTACTGAGGAGATGATGGAACCACAATAAAAATATCAATGTTGAATTAGGTTTTAATGATCATGGAAGAGTTCGTTTTGGAGGATGTTGAGTTTGGGAGTCTGCGAGGCAAGAGGTAGAGACGGTGAGGTGGAGGTAGTGAGGTAGACATGGTGAGGTGAAGGTGGCAGGGTGGAGGTGGCCAGGTGGAGGTGGCAGGGTGGAGATGGCCAGGTGGAGATGGCAGGGTGGTGGTGGGCAGATGGAGGTGGGCAGATGGAGGTGGCATGGTGGAGATGGCGGGGTGGAGATGGCG